CTCGTCCTCGTCCTCGTCCTCGTCCTCGTCCTCGTCCTCGTCCTCGTGGTCGTCGTAGTCGTAGTCGTAGTAGTAGTAGTAGTAGTCGTAGTCGTAGTCGTAGTGGTAGTGGTAGTGGTAGTGGTAGTGGTAGTAGTGTTACTAGAGTACTAGTAATGACCACCACCACTACCACCTCCACCACCACCACCTCCTCCACCTCCACCTCCACCTCCACCTCCACCTCCACCACCACCACCATCACTACAACTACTGTGACTACAACTATGACTACGACTCAACTACAACTAACTCTACCACTACAAGTACATGTCCGGGTCCGCATTTAAGTCAGCATCCTCCCATATCTCTCATTGGCATTGAAGTTGCCGTCGGGCTCATGATACCTTCACAAGTGGCATTTAACGTCCATGATAGAGGTTTGACAGCTTGAACATGCACTTTTCGTTACTTTAGTATGAAGTTAGTTAGTATTTTGCCCATTTGATTGTGGAAACACCCAGGACCTGGATGCTGTGTGAAAGTCACTTCATTTGCAATGTCACTTGCGAGGGCAGCCAGTTTGGTGAGTTTGGCAAGTGCGTTTGGCGAGTGCCATGCTGAATCCATATTTGATCCTCAGAGATGGACCTACAACGCGTCTTTGTGGTGGACATCAGCAGTTCTGGTGGATCAGGTGGATGGTCCAACAGTTGCCAAGATTGCCCAGCTCCTCACGGAGTTGACACACGAAATCGTCCAAATTGCTTTGCGTGCATGTTTGCGGAAAGATGAACCTTCGGTCTGTGCCAGCGAACCAGATGGTGTTTGCAACTTGGTGCAAATTGGCCAAGCAATGGAGCAAAGTGTCGCTGTATTTCGGAGGCTGCTTGAATCAGCCAGGCTTGAACTTCAGAGTAGTAGCCTCCAACACATCAGCCTGGAACTCGCAGCGAGGGTAGGTAATTGGAATACGGAGCCTGGTTGTTCCTCCTTGCATTCTTTGTTTTTGCGAGGGGATATTTGCGCACCTGCTGTTCTTGAGGTGCTGGAATGTGCAAAGGCTTTGTCATTGATTTCAAGGCTCAATATGTCGAAACTGCATTCCGAGCAGATTGCGAAGCTGTTTGAAGTGCTTGAGCCGCCCGTTTTCGTCGAGTCCATGGGATCGCGATATGAGGATGTCTTAGTGTCGCTGGTGAGGCAAATGTGGTCGAAGCGAGGAGGTCTTAGAGTCGCAGAAATTGGTGTGCATGATGGACACACATCTGAAAGGCTTTTGAATGAGTTCGACGAATTGCAGATTCTGCTTGTGGATCCTTTTGAATTGGCTGATGACAGCTACTTCCAAGAGCATTCCTTGTACGAAGACCGTACTTCTGCTGCAGAGGCATCTGAACGTTTATGGGAGAAGATGAAATCGTTTCGCCATAGGACAGTATTGGTTTGGCAGAAGAGTCCAGGCGCTTCTGCTTGGGTTGCCGACAACTTGTTGGACCTGGTCTTTCTGGACGCTTCCCACAACTACGAGGCTCTTCGAGCCGACCTTGATGCATGGCTGCCGAAGCTACGGCGTTTTGGCATCCTGGCAGGTCATGATTACAGCCTCTTGTGGCCGGGAGTCTGTAGGGCAGTGCGAGAATTTACGGAGACCAACCAAGCCTCACTGAATCTGGGGCCCGATGGCCTTTGGTGGGTGCGAGTGTAAGATGGAAACAAATGAACAGGAACACGCGCACATTGAGGATTGATGATGATTGATGCCACGTATCTCCTGAAAAGCTAATAGCTAATGTAGCAATAATTCACCCGGCCAGCAAGGCATGTTCCACTGACCCATGAGTGGGACCCTGCAGTGACGATTCAATGCATCAGCCTGGCTAGGATGCGGGCCAGCAACTGGACGGCCATCGCGCTCAAAGCAGCCAGAGATGGCTTGAAGAGGCCAGCAGTTGGAAGTTTCCTTGGTCAACCAACATAACCAAATAACAACCAAAAGGCAACAATCGCCAAGAAGTTAAACAAAGTTCATGTCGATGTTTGTCGTTTGCTGAGACCTGCCAAACGAAAAGGAAGCATAGGAAGCTGGAGATTTGAGATTTCCATGCGAGGGACAATGATTGCATCCACGATCAGTCCCTGATGAACTCGTACCAGCCTGAGAGATCTCAACTTCCGGCATCAAAGCTGGGATGAGCCAGGATTGTTAGCTGGTAGTGGTAGTGGTAAGAGAAGAATCTTGAGCCTTCTCAGCGAAGCTCTGCGAAATGATTCTGTAGACCGAGCAGACATTTTCCCAGAAGATTGGGTCGGCAAACCCCCGTGCTTTGGCTGCCGCTTGCCAACCAGACCAGACCAGACTAATCGGGGCACTTGTGCTGGCATACCTCATTGACAGCTGTGGATATGTCCGGTTTTGACAGATTGTGCGCAATCTCGTTCTCAAGGATTCATCTTCATCGTTCTCCAGATGAAGGGTCCCTCAGCTCAGACAGAGCAGAAGGTGAAGCTCCTGAAGCTTCTTGTCACGAAAGGTAGCGGTTATGCTACCTGAGTTTTCCTTTTGCTTTAGCAAAAATGTATTATACCCAGAGCTGGAGCCTATCTCACTGAGAAATGGTCCCCGACATCTTCGTTTGCTGGCCGGCGGGCCCCCCCCCCCTTTCAACTCCACCCTGGCGCGCCTCGGGGTCAACGGTTCGAAAACACCGTAAATACCAGTGTTTTCAGCTCTTCCAGTCCTCAACAGTGACAAAAAATCATGGAATTTACAGCGTTTTTTGTGGCTGTCCGGCAAAAAACACCGCAAAAACCGATGGTTTTTGATGCGTCTCGGTTAGAAAAATGACCGAAAAAAGGCAAAAAAACCCGGAACGATTTTGTCGGAAAGGGTTTTTGAGGCTTTTGGAGGCTTCAAAATTGCACAAAGCTATGGTATTTACAGGGTTTTGTACACCTTCCCGGCAGAAAACGCCGGTATTTACACGGCTTTCTGCGCTTTTCCAGCACACAACCCTGGTGCGCCTCTGGATCGACGGCTACAAAACACCGTAAATACCAGTGTTTTCAGCTCCTCCTTACGCCTGATTCCCTGCTACCTTTCGTTCACCCCCCTCCTCTCTCAAGTTTCAAGTGATTTATGAACAGCAGACTGACGTTTTCATGTAAATGACTGACGCTTTCCCGCTACTACGTTGCCTATGTGGTCAAGCACAACTTAGAGCTTGACATCCAATGAAAAGGAATCTGAGGGCGACAATAAGTAGAACACAGCATCTGAAAAAGGGAAGAAGACCAACTCAATAAGGGCCAGGCAGCTCCTATTTGTCCTTTCTTTCATTCCCCAGATAGCGAAGCTATGGGGTTCTTACTTCAAATAACAATGAGTTGCCCGTGCGCGCTTTCGAGGCAGGTTGCTGGTGCTGGGTGCCGGCGCTGGTGCTGGTGCTGTGAGCTGGCTGTGCATGTGGTGGAGACAGGTTGCTGGTGCTGGTGCCGGTGCTGGTGCTGTAAGCTGGCTGTGCACGTGGTGGAGACAGGTTGCTGGTGCTGGTGTTGGTGCCGGGTGCCGGTGCCGGTGCTGTGAGCTGGCTGTGCATGTGGTGGAGGCAGGTGGTGGTGGTGGGCGCCGGTGCTGTGAGCTGGCTGTGCATGTGGTGGAGGCAGGTCGCTGGCGCTGGTGGTGGTGCCGGGTGCCGGTGCTGGTGCGTGAGCTGGGTGTGCATGTGGTGGAGACAGGTTGCTGGTGCTGGTCCGGGTGCCGGTGCTAGTGGTGGTGCTGTGAGCTGGCTGTGCACGTGGTGGGGGCAGGTTGCTGGTGCTGGTGCTGGCGCCGGTTAAAAAAATGCTGGTGCTGTGAGCTTGCTGCGCACGTGGTGGAGACAGGTTGCTGGTGCTGGTGCTGGGTGCCGGGCGCCGGTGCTGGTGTTGGTGCTGTGAGCTGGCTGTGCACGTGGTGGAGACAGGTTGCTGGTGCCGGTGCCGGGTGCCGGTGGTGGTGCCCGCTTCTGACAGTGAAGTGATAACAACCGCCGCTTCTGACAGTAGTGAAGGGTAACAAACTGCCGCTTGCAGCAGTGAAGGGCGACCAAGCGCCGCTTCTGACAATGAAGTGCCAGCAGTCATGGGCTGCATGAACTTATGCACGCAACATCATACGGTGTTGTCGCTCGAGCGTTCTTTGTCTATTATATAGCGCTGTGGGGTATTTGCAGTTCTGTTTTGGCCGGCAGCTGTGTCAAGGGCTGTACTGTTTGCGCGCATACTTTTCTACGTATAATGTTCTATGCGCAACGTCAGGCTCTCAACCGACCATTGTTCCAGCACGTTTCAGCATGCTACACACACAATAGTCGTGCTGGATACTGCTTGGCCTTGGGCGAGTGAAGCCTACGGGCTGTGCCGTTTGTGCGCATACTTTTGTGCGCATAAACTTTTACGCGCAAGGTCATACGGCCTTATCGTCCTGCAGATCGTTGCTTCAAGCATGCGACAAAGTCAATAGTGGCGCTGGATACTGCTTGGCCTTAGGCCAATGACACGGGCTTTGCTGTTTGCACGCATACTTTTGTGTGCATAAACATCTATGCGCAAGATCATACGTTGTTATTCCCCAAATAGGGATATTTATGGGGTTCTTGCTGCAAATAAGAATGAGCTGGCTGCGCTTTCGAAAGGGTGTCGGTGCTGGTGCTGGTGTTGTGGTCCTGGGTGCTGGTGCTGTGAGGCTGAGCGTGCGTTTAAGACGGGGAGGTGCCATAAGCTGGCCGTGCAGGCTGCGTACATTCTTGCTCCAGCCAGTCGCATGTCAACAGGTCGTGGGATTCTGCCTAGCTATCTGGGTCTATGCTGGTGTAATTTTTGTTTGCAGTCTTCAAAGATCTGAAGGGTTTGCTCGCAGTTTGAGCCCTATGAAGACATTGCCGTGTCGATGGATGCTGGCCAGATCCTTAGCAACTTCAGGGATATGTGTTGCCATGCTGGACACCGCGACATTGTGAGGGAAGATTGGCGCTGCCAACTTGGCTCCAGGAAACAGCTGTTGGTAGGACCTTTAGGGTTGAGGCGTACAGGCCCTGAATCTAATATATAAGAACATATTTGTGAAATTGATGACTTGCACTGACTTGATGCCAACAAGGTGATCCAGCTCTGAATATGCTTTCATTTTCTTGCTCTCAGATGTTGACAAACTGACAGCTTACGATAGCAGAGGGCCAGCCTTCCGGTACTTGCTTCTTTTAATGGCACCTCCAGTAACGGATGGGCTGAGAATTCTCTGATTTGCAGGGACGCCAAGAGGGGCAGTACTCGTCCAGCTTATCACTTTGCGATCGTTGCAGAATGCAGTCGTAAGATCCGACTGCTGACTCTGACCTTGGAGACTAGTAGTAATGCACTTATCTACCGCTTCTGGCTCCTAGTAGCGATGGCCTCCAACCTAATACTGTAGCTATTTGCTACTAGTGATGGACATATGACATATGTGCAATACTTTACCATCATGTCTTTGAACGCATTCAGATGTACCTTGAGCTGGTCTGAGTCACCGAAGATAGGCCCAAAGCGTAGCCACTACCCAAAATCCAAAAACAGAATCGCCACCAGACTGAGACTGTACCAAGTCTTCTTTGCTGAAATGACCCATCGGCAGCTGCAGTAGACATCCTCAAGATGATCCATAAAAGAACGCTTTGGCACACTCAGTAGGTGATCCTGAAATGATCAGAGAGGTTTCTTTGGCTTTTGGTGTAGCTGAATGGAGTTTGCTCATCAAGTGGTTCCCTGTCTCAACGTCAGGGCTCAACTGCGGATGCGTGCAGCACCCTTCACTGCCAGCCGGCCGGATGGTGCAGACGCGGAGGCGCGCCGGCGCAGCCGTCCGGTAGGACCCAGGAATGGTTCCTTTTGCGATCTCCTTTTGGGTGGTACTAGTAGCTTCTTGTTACTACTAGTAAGGCACCTGTTACTAGTAGCGATGCACTTGTTACTAGTAGCTTCCTACCCTGGGAGTCCACTTTTGCACTGATTGTATCTCTAGACCAGGAGATCAAGGTATACACAGCCCTTCATTGGGTCTTTTTGGCCAGGTCCTGCGTCAGCTAGAGCTTGACCTGCCCCGAACTGCTGGAAACGATGCAGCATTGCAAGCTTGCATCGGCAGGCGCCGGCATTGCGAATTAAATTTCCTCGCGTATGTGTGTTGACACTAAACCTGGGTTGCTGGCTGCTCTGAAACTGATAGATTGCATTTGAAGAGTCAGTTTTTCTTTGCTTTTCCCACATGAATGGACATTGCAGGGTGCGAAGCATGATCCTGCAGCATTTGGAGGATGACCCTGAGCCGGACTCCCTAGAGTGGTTGGTTGGTACCAAAAAGGGCATCTCTAGGCCACCTTGTTAGGCACTTACAATAGCCCCCAACTGAGGTTGGGCTATTGCCAGGGAATGACGCTGGTGGCGGGCGTTTTCGCGGCCCAAGAGGATGCAGATGTGGAGGTGGCAAGTGGAATCACCGGCCTGCCGACCCATAGTATATTGTTGAGGATGTCTCAGTCCATGCTGAACTTTAGACTTAGGTATCGATACTCAGGTATATTGTACCACTGTAGTTACCCATTTCTTAAATTTCTTCATTGGCACAGTCAACGCATCTTTGGCAAATACACCAACACATAGATCCAATACCATGAAACAAATAGGGAGCAATGGCCTAGATCGCTAGTAGGTTGGAGGCCATCGCTTTAGTAACTCAAAAAAAGCTTGTTTAATAAATATACAAATAGGGAGCAAGACTGCAAGAACTGTCGACTTCCCGCCTCAAGGCCTACCGCCGGTTTGCTGGCTTTATGCAGCAAGTTCGCGGCCTGTGGATGCAGGGGACCAAAGCTTTAGTTGATGGAGAGTGTCTCGTGTTTTGTCATTGACACATGCTGAACAAGTCTTCAAAGCCTTTTTTCATGTAAACACCGTTTTTCCTTTGATGAGCCTTAATGTCGCTTTGCAGGGGAACAGACTTGGACAGATGGGGTGGGGTGAAGGAATTGCGTTGTGAGTCTGAAAGCTCCTTGCTGGATTCAGCTGCTCAAAGTCAGGGGTCTTCAAAGGACTCGGAGCTTTCTCGCCATGAGGAGCAAATCGCTAGTCTTGCCATTGGCGGCGGCCGGACTTGTGATTCTGCATGAAGTGGCATTCATGGTAGTATCTCCTGTGCCAAGAGCCTCCCATGGCACTTTCGCTGGTCAGATGTCCCAGACGTCGATGTCGATGTCGATGTCGCCACCAAGCACGGCCCTGGCGGCGAGTGAAGCTCAAGAGGACCGAGAAACCCGAAAGGCCTTGGTGCCACCGCTGGTTGCACTCTTAGGCTTTGCAAACGCGGCACTTCGCAAGAGGGCAGGTCGTTCCATCCGGAGGGCAGGGGATGGCAGCGAAGAGGAAGAAAGCGCCATCAAGAAACTGAGTACCACGTTCTGCAATATGTTTGCCGTTTGGCTGGCCCTGGCAGCAGTAGCAGCTCTGAAACACCCTGCCTCATTCACTTGGGTGAAGTCTGAATACTTTACCTGTCTCTTGGGACTTCTCATGTTCTCAGTTGGAATCACAACCACCATTGATGACTTCAGGGAGTGCCTGAAGCGTCCTGGAGCTGTCGCAATCAATTTCATCTCCTGCTACGGAATTATGCCTGCGCTGGCGTTTATGCTGGCCAAAGCCATTGGTGCAGAGGGTGCCATCCTAGCCGGACTCGTTTTGGTCGGTTCCATCAATGGGGGCCAGGCATCAAACCTGTGCACCCTCATCGCTGGTGGAGATGTAGCGCTGAGTGTTTCTGGGCAGCTTTTGGCCGTGCGAAACATGATGTCGAACGCAGTTTTTGCAGTTCTTGACATGCTGTATGTTTCGCTCGGTTTCGCAATGCTGTCAGGTTCTGATGACGACCTCGACTACCCTGGGATGCATTTTTATGACTCCCTTGATCTGTAAGGTGGTGTTGGGGGCTGTGGTACCCGTGGATGCTGGAGGCATTGTCGTTTCGACGTTCCAGGTGGTTTTGGCTCCGATCTTTCTCGGAGTCGGCTTCAACACTTTAGTGCCCAAGTTTTGCGAGGCGACCTGCAAGGGTTTCCATGACTCATGAATTTGCATTTCAATCCATACATTTATCGTGTTTCTTGAGAAGCATATGTACATTTCAGAAAAGTACATGATGGCAGTTCTGCTGGGAATATGGTTAGTTGTATAGATGGACTGGTACTCTTTGAACTGCTGTGATGGCATGGACTTCATTGTGTTGTAAGACTACGAAGAAACTGGCACCTGTCCAAGATGTCAAGGACTTGTTCTTCATCCTTTCATGTTGTCCAAGCCACTTGTCACTACAGGCAGTGACGCCCTTCACACCGGTGGTCGGGGTGATTTCGACGGTGCTTCTGGTGGGCGCCTCTGTGGCCAAGTGCGCTGCACCCATCAAGGGCGCTGGCATCCCCCTCCAGATCGCCTGTTGCTCCTTGCACCTTTTTGGAGGCGAGAAATTCGATACAAGGGAACGAGCGCCAAAGACAGGAACAAAGACATGTCTGAGCACAAAGAATGCTGTCAGCGTTTGGAAGAACGATGAAGAACGTAACAGGTGTGAAAGGTGCTGAAGACCTTCATCTCGAAGCTAAATTTGACGCCCGAAAGTCTATGAACCTTTGACCTGTGAAACTAACATGTTTACTACTAGTTTCTCACCCCACTGTAGGTTGGAGGCCACCGCTATTAGGTTGGAGGCCACCGCTATTACGTTGGAGGCCATCGCTATTGGGTTGGAGGCCACCGCTATTAGGTTGGAGGCCACCGCTATTGGGTTGGAGGCCATCGCTATTGGGTTGGAGGCCACCGCTATTAGGTTGGAGGCCACCGTTATTGGGTTGGAGGCCATCGCTATTAGGTTGGAGGCCACCCCTATTAGGTTGGAGGCCACCGCTATTGGGTTGGAGGCCATCGCTATTGGGTTGGAGGCCACCGCTATTAGGTTGGAGGCCATCGCTATTGGGTTGGAGGCCATCGCTATTAGGTTGGAGGCCATCGCTATTAGGTTGGAGGCCATCGCTATTAGGTTGGAGGCCACCGCTATTAGGTTGGAGGCCACCGCTA